TCTTTCCCTTCCCTGCCAGAAGACCTGGCACCTGCCTTTCCAGCACGCTTGATATTGATCTTTCCTGTGCTGCAAAAAAGGTGCGTGTGTGTGTGTGTGTCCCTTTTGTATTGTGTGTTTTATTCCCTCTGTTGCGTGCATGCACTGGTCTCTTCTTTGATTGTTTGCTTCAGTGTTAAAAGTTATGTAAAAATTGTGTGCTGTCTGTCTCCTATGAATATCTGATTTTCCTTTATAGTGTGCGTGTATGTGTGAGCATGTGTGCACGCAATCTGTGTGCCTCCCTTCAGAGTGATGGATCTTCTTTTTTCAGTTTCCAAAAAAAAAAAAAAAGATCAACTATACATTCAAAGAAATGAATTGAGTAGTAATAATAATTGAATAGAATAGCTAAAATAAGCTAAATCCTATGCAATCCTTTCTAACAAGAAAAAGGAGCAGGCAAGTTCAACTACTGAGTACAGCAAGCAAGCTGAAATGCTTGAGTCTGAGGGTTCCTTTCTCACGCAGTTCCTGAGAAGGAACAAGCTAGGAAAAGGCACAGCATACCTCCAAACAGAGCCTTTTATGCTGTTTCTAGTCCCTCCCCACAGACGCTGTCATTTGAAAGGCAGCCAGAGAGGAATCCTCCTCACTGGCCACCTACACATGTCAGTCTTCCCCCCCGCCCTCCCACTCTCCCTCCTTCCGCCTCCTTCTTCTAACTTTCAGTTTCAGTGTCTGAAGCATCCAAAGCACTTCCGAAGCTCCGAACTGCTTCAAACAGCTTAACTGAGCCCGCGCTTGGATCTGGGCATGCTGCTTCGGACGCCAACACGCCCGAAGCAGCCCCAGATCCGAAGTGCTATCCAAAGCCTCACGTAGCCCTGCTATGCAGTCCCAGTGGTGTACGGTTGTTTTTAGATGCTACGTTGCATCACAGTTTGTGCCCGTTGATGCTATGTCGCCGAGGCAATGAGCTATATTGTAGCTCATCGCTATGGCAACATAGCATGTCGTGTAGACGCACGCACAGAGAAGCTATTTAAGACCTCTGAGATTTAAGTTTAACACATTAACAGCAAAGCTAAATGAAGAATTATTTGCAAATTAGATTGCGCAGTAACTTTTTGTGTTTTTGTTTGGCATAAGAGCAATCTAAACAGTTCATTTGTATTTTTAAAATTAGATAAAAGGGAGAACAGGACACCAGAAGTCTCAGAAATAATCACAATCAGTAGATTAATTAGTTAATTCTAATTTAGAAGATGACTGATGGGGATATACCAGTAGACATATGAAAAAGGATTAGGGAATATCAAATTGGTCTCCTTTGTCAGCCCAGTGGTTTTAAAGATATTGTAGGAAGAAGTTCCCTTAACTGCAATATGAAAGAGCTGTAAAAGGAAACCCCTCCCCCCAAAACAACAGATTAAAACTGTTGCTAGCTTCAGATCTTTGCAGTGACTTTAGAGTAACTTTTCAAGGGAACGGTGTACTTTTAAGCAATTTTTTTCTATTCAAGTTGTCATCTTAACGAAGTGTTCTTTGCAGAAAGAAAGTAAGAGTCATTTCTTGTACTGCTTAAAGTTACAGTCATAAATTGGATCAAGTCAGTAATTTGGAAAAGGTGTAAAACGGGAAAAAACAGTAGCACTAAAGAGACACTGAACTCTAAGGCTATCAATTACTTTGTAGCCCTTACACAAACAGTCCATATTTAGTACTTATAATTTCCACATATAGTTCTTCACCCCATTTAAGATACTGTGTGCAGTTCTGGTCTCCAATGTTAAAAAAAAACAACCTTAAACTGAAACAAATTCAAAGAAAATGTCTCTAAAATGGGATCAATGAATGGAGGCCTTTTCTTATGAAAGAAGATTAAAGAAGCTTGACATATTTAGCTTAGCAAAATGGAGACTGGGAGAGGATACCGTCACCCCTTATAGGTACATTCATGGGGTGAATGTCAAAAAAAGAGGGCACTTTTTTAGGCTCAAAAACAAATATTGGCTTGTGCCAGTATAGATCAAATGGCTATAATGTCACTACAGGTAAATTCAGGTGGATAACTTGAAGATACTGAACTATCAGAGAAGAAAGGTTTTGGAATGATGTTCAGAGCCAAGCAGTGGGAGCAAAGAATACAAACTGCCTCTAGACTGAACTGGGTAAATCTATGGAAGTGGCTGGTATGATGAGATGGCATTCTGGCTCAACAACCTGTAGGTGCAATTTGTGGAGTCACATATATGCAGTTCTTATGCTGGGCTACAGAAGCAACTCTTTTGTTGAGCGGTAGGTGTCTAGTAATCCCATGATTCAGGGCTTTTGCTGGTTGTCAGTATGGACCAGGAAGGAATCTCCCTCCCCCATTTAAAAGTGCTACTGGCTGCTTATGGGCAGGAGAGGGAAAAGATTCATTTTCCTCGGAAGGACTGGGATACTGGCTACAGTAAGAGCTGGTGGGGGTGGGTAAAGAAAGAGGGTTCAGACTGGGGTATGCTCATGCTCCTGGAGGTACTTAGAAAACAATAGTTCCTGGTTATAGTGTTTTGCTCTTCCATTAAGGGTCATACTAGTTGACCAATCTGCGGCTCTAGGGCCATGTCCAGCTAAGCACAGCTGTGCAGTATGTGGTCTGCAGCACCACACAGAACACATTCAGGTGTTCTCCATGCTGCTACCTTGTAGCGCTGAGGTCTTTTTTGACCCTGGGAGATCCTGGGGTCAAAAAAGCCTGCATGGGAAAAAAAAAGTGAGGCGGCACATGTGGCAGCAGCATATACCACCCAAAACCAGAGCCTGGCTGGTTGGAGCCACACTCCAGCTGCCAGCAGACTCCCAGCTGCAGCTTGGTTAACCCCCAGGACCCTGGGTAAGGCTGTAGGGGCCAGAAAAGGTGCTGACTCCAGCCTCCCCTGCCCTACCCGGGGTAACCTGCTGCGTGCCAGAGTGCATGTGAGACAGGTGTTCCCAGGGGAACAAGTAGCAGCAGCACAACTTCCCTGTTGCTTCAGTGGCAGGGCACTGGTAGTGCCCTCATCTCCCCTGCTTTGAACTGCGATGCAAACATAGTGTTCTGGGTATTGTGTTTTGTGTAAGGGATTGAAGTGGCAATTTGGACATTCAATGGGTAAATAATGACTTGCAAGGAAGGGAAATTGGACTTGATAGTCCAGGAGGCCCCTTGCAATGTTCCTATGACTAACTTGAGGATCCATTTGAGGAAATCCGATAATTGCAGAGTAAGAAACTGATTCTTACAAGAGATGAGTCCCAGGAAGCGATCTAGCCAAAAACAGGGCTTGTCTACACATACAGCTACTCAAGAATACTTGCAGTACATGACTGTTAATACTAATCAAGAAGCGTAGCCAAATTACTCACTGTTGATTTAGTAGGAAAGTTCTAGCAACAGAATATCAGGGGTGTAGTTCATAAGTGCTAAGGATTTACAAACTGCTTAGCCAGATTTTAAATGGTGTGAAACTTTAAGATCTGTTTTTCAGGGCTTCCAGAAAGAATGAAAGTCAACATAATATGTTACTTAAGTTGCCTCTTCTCCACGCACCTACCTCCAGGACTGTCCTGGGGGGGGGAGGAACAGGGGTGTGTGAATTGGGGCAACTGCCCCAGGCCCCATGCTTTGGGGGACCCCGTGGAGCCAGGCTGGCTTTGTGTCTGGCCGCTTGCCACCCCTCCCCTGCACCCCCTTGCCCCTGCTTCCTGACCCTACACAGGCTGATTTGCCTCAGGCCCTGCACCCTGCTAGGGTCATCTTTGCCTACCTCCACTGGATGAAAGGTCAAAGGATGTCCAAATAAGATAATTTTAATACATCATAAAAGGTTGCTTCCAAAGACACTAAAAGTGTCCAAGAATTCTAAATGCATAATACTATGCCTGGGCCTGGCTCTACAAATTGAATGATTGAGCCTGGGTGTTGTCAAGTTGTTAAGACTTGGCTATAACATAGCTTGTTTCAGCTACCCATTTAGTTTGCATCCTTCACTGATAGCATTGCTAGCAAGATCTACCATTTTGTAGTGCTGACAAGGCCTGGGTTTTTCACTCTTCCACCATCACAGAGTTCTACTTCAAGTTGTAGGTAATAAGGTATATAACAAAAGCATGTGCACAACGTCCTCCTGAAAGTGATGTACCTACAAAACTGGAGCCCCCTGCCCCTTTTATTTTCCCTGAAGCCCTGCATGCAACAACTTTGTTTGTTGGTGCCATTGCAATGCACCATGTTATCTACCCATGTCATCCAAAAACATTATACATATTCTCAGCCCCAGGGTTGTTTATTTTTGAATAAAGCAGAAGATGCTTATAGCTAGTTGCCTAGCTTGCTTAATGGAATATTGGCAGCTTCTTTTGCTGTCAGACACTGGAAAGCAGATTTGGGGCTTTTACATTCCCTCCACAATAATGTTAAAGCACGTCAGACAAGATCTGGGAACTAGTGCTTGCTAATTTACCTGACAACACAATCAGGTAGCATTACTAGCTTTTACTTCAGCCAGAAAATACCTCCCATTGTGACAGTAACCATGGTAGCATGGGCTGAGATGCAGGACAGAGGGCAGGGCAAAAAGATGCATCATCTTGCATGAGCTGGTATTTCTCCATTAGGGCTGACTCACACACAAACTCGCAGTAAAAAAAACCAATACCCATACCGTCTCTAGGCTGTGTGTTTACAAAGAACTTTCTAAATGTGAATGGAATGTACACAAATGCAGTGGTGTCTGTGGGCAGCCTAAAACCTCAGCTCTAGGGCACTGGTATTTACTGCCATTTTTTGCTTCAAGGGAGTGGAAACAGTGAAGCCAATTATGACAACAATAGCAATTTCATTAACAAATTTTAGAGAGCTAAAAAGGAGAGAGATTCTCAAATTGTGAACATCTGCATCTAATACGACTAGCCACTTATTTAGGCCAGGCTATGTTGTGGGTGGAGTTGGGAGTTTGATCTCTGAGAGGACAGTAGTGATGATGAATGTGCATGCAGAGATCTTTCTAGCCAGTTTTCTCCCACCAGGACATAAGCTTTAAGAACCAACATTTCTAACAGAATGAGCCGCATCTACTAACTAATAAAAGGCCAACTGTAATCCAGGTGATTGAAATGTTTACAGATGGTGATGGATATTTTTAGTCTAAAACCTTAAGTTCTCACTCTCTGTAATTTTTTAAGCATTTATTTTAAAATGTATTATGTTAAAAAAAAGGGGGGGGGAGGGGGTTTGGCAACACTGGAGAGTAAATACGAATATCACTCTTCAATAAACTGATTCTTGCTAAAATGAGTTTAAAGCCAGTGTGTTTTCCAAAGTATCTTTTGCTTCCAAACATGTTTCTTGAGAAATATTTGACACTCCCAGCTTCAAAAATAGGATCTGTACTGTGACTAAAGAGCTACTCATAAGGCATCCCTCCATGGAAAGTTTAACTCCTCACCAAAACTTTGGTGTTAGGCAATGCTTCACAACAGCTGCATGACTGCAGTGTCATGGGACATAAATCCTGCTGTAGGCCTGTAATGACAATACCCATGAGGCATTCTGAAACCAACACGTCCAGGTTTTCAAATGTTCAGTTTCCAAAGAAGTAATGTGTTTTCCTTTTAAGGTTTGATCCTGTGAAAGCCTGGGATAAGCTACTCCCAAGAGGTGCTGAGCACCATCCATGTTTACCAAGATGAATGGAAAAGACTTCAGCACCGTGTGGGATCACAACACTCAACAAACACCTCTCCATAATGCATTCAAGCATGGATATCCAACAGCAGTGATGGCCAGCAATAACCCTTTCTGCAGCTCCTACATAGCAGGTTATGCATAAGCAGCTGCACTAGCATACTTTATTTGGTCTGTTTTGTAACCATTTCTAATCCTGCGGATTTTAGGAATTCAGGGACATGCTTCACAGTATGGCCCACCAGTGACAAATGACTACTGTAAGTTATTCACATATAAGTGTTTCCCACTGTAATACACCACAGGTGAAAATAAAGCAGTAAAGAATAGAATTTAGAAAAGGTGGCATCACGTTTACAAGAATGTGCTTCACAACCTTCAGCTAACCTACCTGAAGAGTATTTACAAGCTTTGCTTAATTTAAGTATCAGCATTCACAGCTTTCTGCAAGAACTTAACTTCTACAATTTCCCAATAGGACATGATATTCTTATGACATTATGCAACTTTTAGAATGATATGACTATTAGATGCTATATGGAGCACTGTCAAGGTCCTCAGTGTTGCATTTACTTACCTCCTTGTCAATCAGTCTTAATGCATATTTCACTTCAGGGTCTTGCAAGGTAATTGCTGGATGGGGTTTCCTGAAGAGCCGCATGATGAAGGTGTAAACTAGCCATACTGGATAAATCACAATACCTCCCAGCTGCAACAACATAGGAAGATGGTCAACACTACTGTTTGGTTAAAAGTGAAGTAATACTATGGTGAGGGCCATATCAAATAATCCATGGGAAAAAAAAAATAATTTTTTGCATACTTACAGCATCAGCATACAGAAAATGTGCATACTTTGCAGTTGTTGTAAATGCCCAGATGGTAGACTCAAAACACAAATAACATGGCATTCATTGTTTGGACATACAATACAGTAAAACCTCATCATAACACAGCCCCGCAAGACTGAGAGAATAGTTTTGTTAAGAGGGGGCATTTGTTTTAATAGGGTTAGTCAAGTCTGCTGCATCATAATAAT